TTACCAACACCCTACGTAGTTGACTGCGATCCACCCACTCCAACCGAAATAGCTAAAACAATTAACACACTCAGAAACAAAAAAGCTCCGGGCGAAGATGGTCTACCCCCAGAAATATACAAGGCCTGCACTCCAGCGCTAATCGATGCACTGCACTCGCTGTTCTGCTCAATTTGGGAGTCCGAAACCATTCCTTCCGATTGGAGCACCTCAGTTCTGCTACCGTTCCACAAAAAGGGAGACAGGTCAATATGCGAGAACTACCGAGGCATAAGTCTGATTGATATCGCTGCTAAGGTTTTTGTTTCCATTCTCCTGAACCGCTTCGCGGCCGAACGCCACGTGCGAACAAGGCCAAATCAAGCCGGATTTCGACCTGGAAGAGGCTGTGTTGATCAATTATTCACACTGCGAAGAATTTTGGAACACAGGGACAAATTCCAACAGCCGACGGTTGCTTGCTTCATCGACTTCCAAGCGGCATTCGACTCAGTTGATCGAGGAGCACTCTGGTATCTAATGGAGCTCGACGGAGTTCCGACCAAGCTAATCAACCTGCTCAGGTCATACTACTCCAACACCAAAGCTCGAGTCCGAGTGAACGGTGAAGAGTCCCGCACTTTTGAGGTAACCAGCGGTGTCCGGCAAGGTTGTCCAGCATCCCCCATCCTGTTCAATTTCACAGTTGATTGGATTTTGCGGCACGCCCTAACCGAGCACCACGGCGTCCAACTTTCGCCCGATATTCACATAACCGACCTCGAATTCGCCGACGACGTCGTGCTGTTAGCTGAAAACTTCCCCGATATGCAACAGGCGCTCGACCAGATAAACCACCTCGCGTCTACTATCGGTTTGAAAATTAACACTTCCAAAACCAAAATGTTTTCGAACACATCCACCAGCAATGATGAAATCTTATCCTTAAATGGAGCACCTATTGAAATTGTGCCATCCTTCAGATATCTGGGATCCATAATGCTCCCCAACGGCCAAGCGAAAAACGAAGTGAATGCGCGAATCTCCAACGCCCGGAATGCGTTTCTACAGCTGAGGAGCGTTCTATGGAGCAAGAGAGAAATCAGTCTCAGGACTAAAATTCGGATCTACCAAGCTTCCATACGACCCGTTCTGCTGTATGGCTGTGAAACCTGGCCTCTTCGCGCGGAAGATTTACGCAGACTCGAGGTATTAGACCATTGGTGTCTCAGGTACATTCTGCATGTTCGTTGGCAGGACAAACTCTCCAACGAAGAAGTGCGTCGGCGTTGCTACAACATCAACCAAATTCCAGTACTGGTCCAACAACGCCGCCTTCGGTGGTTTGGCCATGTTCTGCGCCGACCAGATGACGATCTGGTCAAATCAGTTCTAAATCCCTCGCCATTACCATCTTGGCGATGTCGCAGAGGCGGACAGCTGAAGACATGGCTTGGTACAGTCAAGGCAGATATGGAGTGCCTGGGGCTACAAACGGTCTACGGACTCCGTATGTGGAACAAGAATTGGATATCCCTATCACAAAACCTTGCTTCAGATCGCCGCGCCTGGGCAGCGATGATTCGAGACGTTCATGAAGCCGGCTCATCCTCCCGTAGGAGATAGCCGAAGTAAATGAAATGAAATGAATGAATATAAAAGAAGGCCAAGGGAACCCAATCACCAAGGAAGAAAAACAGATTAAACAATGGGCGGATCACTTCAAAGGACTCTTGAACCGACCATCACCTGCAATCCGTCCAGAAATACCAACAACAGCGCGCACACAACTGCAAGTTGACACCAATCCTTCAACGAGAGCTGAAGTCTTGAATCCAATCAGGCTTGTGAAAGCTGGAAAAGCAGCTGGACCAGATGGAATACACCCTGAAGCACTGAAAGCGAACCCAGAGACTACAGCAGACATGCTAACTCCATTATTGCAAAAGGTCTGGAAGGAGGGAAGGGTGTCTACTGATTGGAGGAAAGGTTACCTCGTGAAACTACCAAAGAAGGGAGACTTAGGCCTCGCTCTGCGAGAACTGGCGAGGAATCATGCTCCTGTCGACGCCAAGCAAAATCCTGAGTCGCATCATCCTGGAGAGAATAAAGGACGCACTGGATACAGATCTCCGACCAGAACAAGCTGGATTCAGGAAAGTCAAGAAAATCATCTTCTGACCAAATTGCAACTCTACGCATCATCATCACAGAACAAAGCATGGAATGGAAATCAAACCTCTACCTCAACTTTATAGACTTTGAGAAGGCCTTTGACAGACAGCGTTGACCGCGAAGTAATTTGGAAACTACTCAAGTACTACGGCGTGCAGCGCCCAAATATTCATCAACCTTATTCAACAGCTGTACGACAACGGAACATGTCAAGTGATTCACAACGGGAAACTCAGTGAGGCGTTTGGAGTAAACACAGGAGTCAGACAAGAGTGCTGGCTGATTATCACCAATGATATTCCCAATTGTGGTGAACTGGATTATGCGTCAGACAGTGAGTGGGAAAAGAGAAGACAGGAATATCCTGGATCGACACGAAGAACCTAGAAGACCTGGATTTCGCGCGTGGATGATTTATGTTTGATATCACACAAAATCGAAGACTTAGAGGCAAGCGAAAACCGACAAACTGGTCGAAGAAGCAGCCGGCGAAGACAGGACTCCAAGTGAACATAAACAAGACAGAGGTTATGAAAATGACCAGCCAACAACAACAAAAACCACAGCAACATCCAGCGCCTATCACCATCAACGGGAAGGATTTGAAAGAGGTTAATTCATTCACTCACTTATCTAGGGAGCATTGTCTCAACTAAAGGCAGTCGGAACGGACGAGGATGTCCAATCGAGCGAGAATCGGGAAGGCGAGCGAGAAACACATTCATCAACCTGAAACCAATCTGGAAATCTTCGTCACTCAGCCAGCATCAACAACAAAATTCGGTCGGATTTTCAATACAAACGCCAAGTCAGTCAGTTCTTCTACATGGGTCAGAAACTTGGCGGGCTGGTCACAAAGAATATTTCCAACAGCCTGTTGCAGACCTTTATCAACCAACAACTGTCTTCGCTCAATCTATACTGAAGATCAGATGGCCGGGCCGGAAAGAATCACCAACAAGGAACTATGGGAAAAAACAAAACAAGAACAAACCAATCGCCCAACATATATGCAGGAGGAAGTGGAGATGGATTGGAAACTCGTTGAGGAGGCCACTGGGTGACATCGCGCGTCAGGCCATTGCTCGAGTGGAACCAGGCCGAAAGGGAAGCGGCGAGTGGGACGTCAGTGAAAGTGTGACATGGAGGAGATCGTGTGAAGAAGAGTTGAAACAGTATGGACTAACATGGATGCAGGTGAAAAGTACAGCAGAAGGAAGACAGAAGCAAGTGGAGACGTTCAGTTGAAGCCCTATGTTCCACTAGGAACCCAAAGGAGCAATAATAATACATATACTAGCGAATAAATGGACACAGACGATTGTGATACTCATTCTGAAGAAACCCAAGTTAGAAAAACAACAATCAGCCAATCGAAAGGCTACATACAGTCAAATATTAGTAAAAGGTAGTGAATGTCAGTTGCTCCATTCTACCTAACAGATGCAAGGAGACAGGCTATGGTGAGAAGCTGAAGCTCCCTAAGAGTAAACTGTCTGAAACTTCTCGTGGCAAAGTCTATAAACAGTGCGTAGATATACGAGATGAAAAAGAGGTCAGCAATACACTTGATTAGCTAGACAGGACTAAGGATGACTAAGAAAAGTCAAATGATCACCAAAAAGGGTAAAGCTATTCAGCTTCTTCCGAAGACTGGGCAAAGAACAGAAGTCATTACCACATTTATTGGAGCTAACTACCTGGTGAACCCTCTCAAGGAGAAAGCCAATTCACAGAGATCCCTACTGCAAGGTTAAGCAAAGGTTAACTTGTTTAATAGTCTAACCCTGACGACTGCAATCACCTCGTTTTGCGAAATTCTACACGCGCACCACATTTTAAGTTGTGAAAACTCATATCAGATCTAGTCGAAACGAGTAGGATTTCAGCGGATAACTTTTTTAAATAACTTCGCTATGCTCAATATTTAAGGAATCCCTATACATCACAATAACCGGCAGTGACGAGTGCTACTACGTCTTCAACCCATGGATGAAGCCACAGGAATCCATATGAATAGGAACATGTATCAAAGCACAATCGGACTATAAGCCTACCTTAACTTACCATACTGACAGCGCATAATCATCTCATAACTATATGACTTATTGTGCTTCTTCTCTCCTACTCTTTCCCACCATAACATTAACATTATTTTGAACCTTTGATGTTATGTGATTGTTTTATTTACTGATAATAACTCGGCTCTTACTAACTGAGCTTGAAATCTCACAAATATGTCACTTAGTCATTTATGTTGAGGTTATAGAAGAGACAACCGACAACCTTAGAAAGCCAATTCTGGGCAGAACAGTGAAAGTGGGTAAATACTATCATATTCGTAAAAAGCGTTGGAAGTGTAAAAATACTAGACAGCGAAGGTTGTTATTTTAATTTTCAATTAGGGTAAGATTGGGGTTAGCGTAAGTTAAGGAAAAGCTTAAGTATGGATTAGAAGCAGGTTGAGTTTAAGTTTAAAAAATATTAGTGTCACGGCTTAGTCGGGTACTCAAATTTACCTCTTTGTCACAGCTGGCTGTTCCAAGACTATTGCCTATTGTTTAACTTCGCCTGTTTTGTCTGATATCCACAATAATTGACCAATTTGAGTCCATTTCATTCACTACCGCAATTAACTGTCATGCATTTTTCTAGAAAATCCCATTTGATTCGACCCACCATATTACTGTTTTTGCCTTAGCTATAATTCTGAGTATACCCGTGATGTTCATGGACTTATATTAAGAGACCAAAGATATAATTGTCGAAAGTATTTAACATAGAATGGCTTTCTTCCTGACTTAAGTAGAATCAGCATGAAATATCTGGAAAGGCAAATTACTCACCTTTGCAAACTGTGATTCGAATTCTTCGAAGCATGATTCAGCCTCAGCAATCTTCACCCTGTCGTCACCCATCTGAAAGAAACTACTTGTAAAATCACTTGTCTTGGCGGTATCAATAGGAGTGAAGTACAATATCGGGTTGTAAAACGGCATCTTAAAGGTCAATCCCAATTAGACTTCGGTTTAGTCAAGTGATTCGTATCTGATATTAGCTCCTGAGAATGCTGCTTTCTTGTGTTGAGTACAATTAAATAGGCAATGCAACCAGAAAAGGCAACTAAACCGAAGTAAGTTACTACCCTGTTCTTGCAAAATAATTCTCAATCAACAACTTACTGGTTTCACAAAAAGCTCAAAGTTTAGCAGACGGAACAGAGAAGTATTGTGTGGCCTTCTTGGGTCATTCATAAGAATAAAATAATTAACTAACAGTCTTCTAATATACATATATATATATCAGCTTACATCTAACTCTGCCTGACGTCTACACGCTGGTTTTATTTTCAAAACACTCCAAAACGATCGACCAAGTAGACAGCAAACGCCCAACGCAACCTTGAAGTGTAACGCACTCAACAAACTACCTCATTCACATCCTAGATTTCAAATCTTAGTTTTCATTTACTAACCTCAGATTTTACTTTATAATACTTCCCCAAGTGACCATGTTGTTTTTCAGCCCTTCTGTGACGCTTCGGGAATCCGTTTCACCTTTTTAATCCTGGTCTGCATTGATAAATTAGGCTGGGTCTCAGTCATAAGACCAGACAGATGTCTCTCCGTTCAAGAGAATTCAAGCTCCCTTGTGCACTTCCTAATCGACGCACGAAATATTGCATCAAAAATCCTTTTGTCTGTGTAATGGCTAAAAACCCACTTCGTGGTGCTGGAAGATCCGAAAAGTGGGGAAATGAAACGACAGTCTATAAAACTCTTAAAATCCTGAATTTTGGCATATTATTTTTCAAATTTGATGAATTGGTTAATTCATTTATGAGAAACCTGTATATGGCTGTAGAATCCTGTCAGCGAAAATAACCATTACTAGAAATACTGTAGTTAATGTTTTCTATTGGTTAACAAGCGCGCTCCTTGAATACGACGTGCTTTTTCCTCTATAACCGGAAAATACCAATTTTGTGAATTATCCACTTGGGAAACCTGATCTCCCTAGCCGGTGAATTAAATTCAAACATTACTTATACAATAAATCTCTGTGTGGTAAGTCCAGCTGTCTCGAACTACTGACAAATCTTCAGGTGCTACTTTTGTAGCAGCATCTTTCTCACACGTTCAGATAAACAAGACTTGTTAGTCTACCACGTGATTGCTGTGAAGCCGATCACCCAGAAAGTACTGGGTAAAGTCGAAAACCTTTTCCTTTCCTTGTCTTAAACTTTTTCAGTCATATTCTTGTTCTTTTGGATAGATACTGTTGCTTTCTTATTCGTTTATAGCACAAGTCATACTGATTGTTAATATGGTTGTCGAAAGTAGCCTTAGAAAAGCCACTAAAACACCATACTCTGTAGTCACAAGGGCTTCAGCCAGAGAAGGAAAAAACCTGTGGACTTCAACCCCTTCCTGCATACCGATCGTGAAGACTCGCGTAGCTTTCGTCTCTCCTGATACTGCACTTGCATTGCCACAGTCTAGTACTGAAACGGCACAGGAAATACCAGGGGGACAGGATACTACACCTGTATCAACTGAAAGCCAGTATGTGAAACACAGCAAACCTAAAAGGAAACGTTCAAGACGTCATAAGACCTCGAAGGCGTCATCAAGGAAAGGAGATGAATGTCAGGCGTGTAGTATCATAGTTTCTAAAACTGACTCAGCGTTTGAATGCAATTTTTGAAAACAATGGGTGCCCAGCCGTCGTGACATGGAGGTACCGAAAGCATACTACGAGTTTATGAGAAATATCCCATGCCCATGGTTTTGGTACATTTGTCCACTTTGTCACCCTGGTATAGTCCCACAAAGCGTGTCTGAGGATAGCAGAAACAACACGCCGCTCTTGTGTTCCAACACAGTCTCATGCAGCTCCCCACCTGCTAATATCGCACTGCCAAAACTTGGTATAGACAGTAAGAAGGACACTCCAGTCCTACTGACTGGAAATGCCAGTTTTCACAAGGTGAAGATTCACAAGGTTACACCCACATTAGGGGGAAACAGAATCACAAAAGCACCACTTGCATTCACTAGCAAGCTTGGCAACACAAATAAGGCTGGCCAGATGCCGATGAAGCCTAATGTTGCTGATGATGCAAAGGAATATGAGAAGCCGAAGGCCAAACCCAAGTGTGAGGTTAGTCAGTCTAACTCTCTTATCTTATTTAACATGCCTGTGATCAAGGATAGCTTGCTTGAACAACGGGCCCTGTTTGATCAGGAACAGTGGTCCAAATTGTGCAATGAACTAGGTCTGAACATTAGTTCAGCGAAACTGTGTAGGCTGTACAGGGGTGTCCACACACCTCAGGGTAAATCACCCCTATTAAAGGTTACACGGGACTCTGCTGAAGAGGCCGAAAGATTACTATTAATGGCTCAGGTACTAGTCATCGACAGAAGTTCGAGCATAAGGGTGAGACAAGACAGACCATGAGCTATGAGACAAATGGCGAAGGAGTCACCGAAACTGATGCTTCCTACCTCCATAGTGGTACACGGTGTTCCAGAGCTGGAAACGGGCACTGCTTGTGAAAAACACATTCACGACGTGCAGCAATGGATATGGCTGTCACCTCAGATGGCCCTTGGCGTGCCTGGAGCCATCTGTATTTTCCGACTACCTCGCCTCGCTCATCTCACATTGATTAGCTCTCCAAAGCTGCTAAGTGTCACATTCAACTCCCCGGAACAGTTGTCCATAGCACTTCAACGGTGGTACGAGACCAAAGGAAAACTGGCAGGAAACATCCGATGCTGAGAAATCAGACCCCAAACCATAAGGAGGCAGCAAACTGAGACTTTCATACGTCCCCAAGCTTCACCGAAACTAAAGTTCTGAGAATAACAGCCTGCGTCACCCAAGTGTCCCGCCTAAATCCACGGAAAGAAACTACAACAGGCGGTTCCATCGGAATTGGTCAACTAACCCCAAAATAAGGTCCTCACCAGCATACAGCTTCACATCAACTACCCCACAACAGGCTGAGGTTGTTAGACTCACTGTCAGCTGTTTATATAGCAATGAGATGGGGCTGAGAGGAAATATAGGTGAACTCTGAAATCTCGAAGCACACCTACAACTAAAAATGATCATTCCCACAGAAACGTGACTAAACCCCACTATCGCCGGTAACGAAATCAGTATAGGTGATATGGTTCTGGTCAGGAGAGACAGGGATAATAAGGAAAGAGGGGGAGTTGCTATATACTTTGACAGACAACTTAAATGTGTGCGCGAAACGGAGCCACCACTTATTGAACTCCCAGACTACATATGGTGTCATTTCACCGTAGGCCGAACCAAGCACTTACTGGGTGGCATCTACCGATCTCCTACCTGTGTGGCAGAGCACAATCAGCCATTGCTCGGTACTATCAGGGGGATACGAGACTTTGGCTATGACCAAATCACCATAGCTGGAGATTTCAAAGCCCCATCACTGAACCTTGGCTCGGGTGTGCTGAGGGAAAATTTGGCCGAAATCTACTGCAAACTATTCGAAACTCGGGACTGACTGAGAATGTTGGAGACGACACTAGGCGGGGCCCTAATGGAAAGTCTTCAAAACTAGACTATATTCTAACTAGTGACCAACAACTCTTCAAAAAGGTTCAGATCATGACTCCCCCAGGAACTAATGACCATGCAGTCGTAAGTTTCGATCTCGTTCTCCGTGAGCATTTTCAGTGGTACGTTACGTGACCATGTCTGTGTTACAGCAAGACTGACTATGCTGAAATGCGGAGGCTCTTGCCCGACGCAGGCCGGCCCTTAGCATGGGATGAGCTATCTTTGGATGAACACTGCGAAGTGGTAAAAAAGATTATTCATACAGGAATCTCGGATACCGTCCCTTCTGTCACAACACAGCCCAAAAGAAAGTCATCATGGTTGAAGAGAGGCACGCAACGTATTCTACAAGCGAGGAGGAAGGCTTGGTTTACGCGGCGTATGTCTATGAGTCAGACTGACCACGATGCATACCTCAAACTCAGGAACCGGTGCAATGCAAGAGTCAGGAGGGACAGGAGGCCATTCCAGGCTAACCTTGCTAAAAAACTCCTAGCAAACCCTAAAAACTTGTACCGATTCATGTCGGAAAGAAAACCGACAAACCAAGGGGCATGCGCCTTAGTAGGCCCAAACGGCCAATACCTCACTAGTCTGGAGATGGCTGAAACATTCAGTTCAGCCTTCGCCAAACAGCTAAACAGCACTGTGGATATTACAGTTACGGACCAAGATGGTGGCACCACTGTTTCACAGGAAGAAGACCCAGTGGCTACTCCCCAAATAAACCCCGCAATTGAACTAAGGAAGCCACAGAAACTCACACCTGAGAAGTCCGCAGGTTATGACGACATCAGGTCATCTCTTCTGAAACAGTGCGCCGAAGCTTTTTGTAGGCCCCTGTGCGACTTGTTCCAACACTCAATGGATTCGGGGACACTGCCAAGGGATTAGAAAAGAGCCATCCTTTCTCCAATCTTCAAATGTGGGGATAGGCAAAATCCCACTAGTTATAGACCAGTAGCCCTACTCCCAGTGGTATCAAAAGTACTGGAAGATATTATTAACGACCACATCATGGAATATTTTGATAGGTCTAATATACTCCATGTAGCCCAACATGGTTTCAGAAAAGGAAAATCCTGCGTTACTAACCTACTATCAGCTTGGGACGACTGGACATCGTGTTGGGATATGAATGTTCCAGTCCATGTGGTCTTCCTAGACTTTGAGAAGGCATTTGACACTGTTCACCATGACCTCTCACATAAAATAAGCCAGCCAGGTATAGGCGAGCCATTTCTGTCATGGTTAAAGGACTACCTAGCTGACAGGCAATTTTGCGCTAAGGTCAACCGAGTCCGATCATCTTGGCACAGCTCGTCATCAAGAGTGTCGCATGGTTCTATCCTACGATCACTGATGTTTTTAATTTCTATCAATGATCGACCACGTCGTC